GTCAGCCCTGCCTTTATGGCAGTCATCCCTCCCTGGACATGCATTCACATCCCATTCAATTTATGCAGCCACAGCAGAGATCTTAAATGGCTGTAAACAGAAAATGTTGAGGATTAGTCAAGATATTTCATGAGCAGTAGGTGGTTGTTTTAGTCCTCACTCTTCTGCTGCTCATTGCAATGACTGCCCAGTGGTGATGAAGTGGCAGTTTCTGACCAAAGTAGCATAAGCCATCAGAGGACAAGAAAGCAATCAGACATGGGACTAGGGGGTGAGTGACTTTGCTGGGAGCTGAGTTCTCCCTTCTGGTTTCTGCTCTCCAAACTCCTTGTGCATTTGCAATAAGCTGACAACCTGTGATTAGGAAGAGAAGAGTCACAGGTTTCCCTCCCAAGAGCACACCCTAGCCAAGAGGCCACAGGCTGCTTTTCCATACTGTACTTTATTTCCCGTGGTACATCCCTTGTGCAGTCAATTTTGCACCTTCAGGAGATGTATGGAGGACTCCTCTGTTCCCTGATACGAGCAGGCAGCTCGGTTTTCTAGGCTCTGCTTATCTACGAGAGATAAATTGAGTCTGAACCTTTCTGAGCCTGCTGATAATGAATTCACACTGTGATTCCTTGGTGAATGCTCTGATTTTTGGACTCTTACAGAAGTGGCTGGTACTGCTTCTTTGTTTCCTTATCTGCAGAGAAAAGCTGTCAGTGTGCTTTCAGCGTTGGCTTTGCTCTGGAGAGAACTGCGGGATTGGGGCCTTTGGGGAATGTGGGTTTTGATCTACGCGGAGCCCAGTTGTGCTGAGGGAGAAGGAGGATGGCAGGTGCCTGCCGGAATGACACGATGGGTGTCAGGGATTCAAGAGACTTGAAACAGAGTTACTTTAATCACAGCTTCTTATTTCTGCACCCACGCTTTTACCTGCGTCCTGTTCTGGTGCACAAGTCCTTTACTGGGATGAGTGCGTTATTCCTTTTTTATCTTAAGAGAATTTGGTTTATCACAGAGAGATTCTGGACGTAGTTGCCATTTATAATAATTGTCATAGCTTTTAGAAGTTTTTTGGAGTAATGAGAATAGCCACCCTTCAAGGATCTGTCCTTCAGACTGCATGGAATATCTTCTTGCCACCTTGCTGCATTTTGAAGAGAAAACTGAGCTCTAGTCATGGTTTTTCAACTCAAAAAATGGAAGCTCCTTTTCCTTAATGTTTGACTCTCAAAGGCCTAGGTGTACCTACTGCAAACAGCTTTGATAGTTTTACATTCTGGAGAAGACGAATTTTGGGGCAGACTTCTGCACTTTGTCTTTCTTTTCAGACCGACACAGCCACCTCCCGTTCAGGTGCTGATCTTGCTGTCCTGCACTTCTGAGGCATTATAGGAAGCATTACAGAAGGAGCCTAGGCACGAAAGTCTGGACTAGAGACCTGAGACTCAGTTCTTGAGAAGTCCCTGTGTGACTTCTGTGTGCCAACATTTCTGTAGGGACCTTGCATATCACGGTTTTAAAAAATAATAAGCAAAGTCCAGTAACTGGAAGAACAAAAAGTTGTCTATGAAACTCTTTTAGACACTGGTTCTGTAAGATTTAGAATAGGAAATAAAAGATAAGCTCATTTGAAAACCACGTTGCGTGTATGTGAATACACGTGTAAAATACTTAATGCAATAAAAATCATTTCAATTTTTGAAATCGTTTTATTCAGGGTGTTTTATAATGCCCTCATGGTGACTTTTCATGAAAAGCAGAGTGAAAGGCATGAGGAAGTTTCACAGAAGCAGCAGGTGGGGTTATACCTGTAAAACAGAGGTAGGACGACTGGAGCTGTCAGGAGTGATTCTGTGTGCGCTAACATCCAGTCCTGCCGCTCTCACTCAGGTGAAATTTCTGTTGACATCAGTGCAAGGTTTTGCTTAAGTAAGGACTAAAACCTGGCATTTGCACTTTCTTTGGGAGTGCGTTACAGTGGCAGCTGTCTGTAGATTAATTCAAGGAATCTTGTTCAGACTCCACACAGGAATCTGCGCAGGAACTATATGTTCAAAAGAGGATTTTTTTTTTTCAAACAAACATACACGCTTTTTATACCCTTTCTAAATAACAGCTGAGTTGACAGGCTGAAAGACTCATCATTGTGCACATGGTACATAGCGTGCGGCCCAACTTTCCTGCAAGATAACTGCACGGTTTAAATGCAATCCCGGTATCTGCGTTGCCCAACAAATGGAAGCTTTATGGCATTTCAGGGACTGAGGCCTCTTGGATGAACTGGCTTCCTCTTTTAATTTTTATTTGTTTTAAGGTGTGCATGAATTCATTCCAAATTATGTAAACGCAGTTAGAGCTTAAAGAATAATTTGACAGAAATGGCAAGAGAACGTTTGTTCTCTAAAATTTCCCTGTGTCGTAATTTTAACAGGTAACGCAGCTGAGTTCCTTGTGACTCTCAAGTACTCTGGTGGTTATAAATTTCCAGGCAAAATCTGTGTACCATCTTTTTTTTTCTATTTAACATGAATAAGCTAACATCCCCTCCACTTCTTTCTTTCTCTTTTGTGTGTGTTTTTTAAGCCGTTTACATGTGTGAAGTAGAAAAGCGTCACCCTCAAGTCTTTAAGAATCAGGACAAGGAGAGCTTTTCTCATCTGGAGGATCCCTTACCCGCGGTGGTAGGAGTGACCTATGAACTCTGTGCTGGCATTGTAGATAAACCAGACCTTTCTTTAGAAGAAATTGCATGTGGGGAAGTCTTAGAAGAGTGCGGCTATCGTGTTGCCGTTACTGACCTAAGAAGGATCACTTCCTACAGGTAAGTAGCAGTAAGTTAAACCACTTTGCTTTTTGTTGTTTCACAGGTTGCTGAAGTGTCTCGAATGTAAATTAATGTTCCCTGTTCCCTTCTTTAAGTGGTGCGTTGGAGGAACGTGGACGTCTCAAAGTGTATGAAAGGTGCAATTTTCAGCAAGTGAGAGGAGTATTTACAGAGTCTTAAGGAATTATAAACTCATAATTATGGGATTGAATTCCCGGTAAGAATGAGACTATTGTGGTTTATTCCAAGGACTATTAGAGCTGGGGAAGATTGCATTGGGCTCTTCAGAGCAGTTTGTTACAGCACCAGAAAACAGCCAGCCTTCGCTGCGTCAGGCGTTTTCCATCTCTGATTCTTATTATTCTCTTTAACAATAGAAGCTGCCCAAGATGGACTTTGATTTACCATTAACATAATTTTGCAGAAGCATGAGAACCTCTGCCATTAGATCTCTTCATAGTGCTTGTGCTATAATGAAGCCTCCTTTGAACTGGACGATAATTAATGTTATCTATGAAGATGTTGCTGATTTGACTGTGAACATTTTTACATTACATTTTTTGTAGGGTTTTGAGTAGTCGTTGAAACAGATTTTGACATGTTTTAAAACACTAGGAGTAAGAGGAAAACTGAGTATTTAAGAGGAAAAATACAAAATGTGAGTTGTTACGGGAAAAAAAAAGACAAACCACAAAAAACCCTCAGGAGAAACTTTGCACACAGCTTTAATCCCATTATATCTCCTTCCCAGCTTTTAGCATTGTTATCCAATATGTACGTATGTTTGTATTTTACAAGAAAGCAGCAGGTTTTTTTACTTTCTTTATTTTGCTTGACATCTCCATTGAACTGGACCCTGTCATTGGTTTTTAATTTGGGAACCGAATACAAATCCACAGCTGTCAATCCTGGCAAATGTTATTTCCTGCCGGATTAACAAGCAGTGCTTCTGTTGAGGGGAGGGGGTGAATCACAGGAGCTGTCATTTACAACTCCTTGAAACTAGATTAGGGGTCTGTTCTACTGAAAGAAAAAAGCGCCTTCTAGATCTATGAGCAAAAACCGTCCGTAGAGTTTCATAGCCTGGGCAGCACTGACAAGCTGTAACATGCAGGTATGTGCATACGTACGTGTACGTGTGTATGTGTGTACAAACACTGAACAGGAAAAGCAGAATACATTTCTGTCACTGTAGAAGTTTGTAGCTTCAGCGTAGAAGTTTGACTCAACGTTAAGGATTTACTTCTGGCTATGACACCGTATGTTTTTGCTCGATAAATGTCTTTGTATCTTACACGTGATTTTTCTGGCAGTTGCCTTTTTTTTTAACCGTACTGACTTGCAGATAGAGCAGACACACGGAGTTTTCTCTGTTGAGACCCATTCTAAGAACACTTAATATGGTAATCCCCCAGTCCTGCTTTGTCTGTGTGGGCAGAGCTTTCTGCCTATGGAGACCCATACTGAAGTCAGAAGAGCCTGTGTAGTATTTACCTTTTTAGATTAATATGAAAGGTTGAAACCTCAAAGATAGTATTTTGCAGTTTCTTTTGTCGGCCTGTGTATTAGAATTTTATTCTAAATGTTACAGTCCTCCTGTTAGGGGTGTCCCGTTCTTTTTCCTTCAGCCAAAGACTGGCGTATCTGCCTGATCCTTGAGGATCTGATGCAAAGATAGGAAGTAACTGGTTCCCCTGTAGTCCAAGGACATTTTTTCCATAATGGCCATATTACATAGAAGAATTTCTGGGCTTTTTTTAAGTGTAGCAGGTTTTCCCAAATGGTTTATGCTGCTGTTTCATGCTGTGACTGTCAATACAAAGCACTGACAATAAAGCATTACATTAATCTGTATGCATGCTGTTAATAATTAGACATCATAGACATCATACACTTCTATTATCCCACATCCCAGTGGTCCATGTAACAGTTGCAGTTGCTCTATAATATTTATTGATCCGTACATCAGGTCAGACAGAAGCCTTAGAAAACAGGGTTAGAAGGAGTTTTGGGAGGATCTCATCTAGGCTGCTCCTCTTGCAAAGATCAGGCTCAGCTGGATTTAAATAATTTCTGACAAATGTGCATCTGTGCTTTCTCTAAAATCTGGTAATTTCATAGCCTCTCTTGGAAGGTGTCAGCATTAAGTCTGAAGTGTCTATCTGTCTGTAGCATGAACAAGTTTTTTCTTCATGTCTTGCCTAAATTTCCCTTCCTTTACTTAAAGTCTGAAACTTACTCCCATTCCCCATGCACAGGAAGTGCTTCTGCACCTTCCACATACTCGTTTGACTGTGTCTCCCCTTCATTTTCTGGGCCCCTCAGTTCAAGAAGGACAGGAACTGCTGCAGAGAGTCCAGCGTAGGGCTACAAAGATGATGAAGGGAGTGGAGCATCTCCCTTGTGAGGAGCGGCTGAGGGAGCTGGGGCTCTTTAGTTTGCAGAAGAGGAGACTGAGGGGAGACCTCATTCATGTTTATAAATATTTAAAGGGTGAGTGTCACGAGGATGGAGCCAGGCTCTTTGCGGTGACAAACAATGATAGGACAAGGGGTAACGGACACAAACTGGAACACAGGAGGTTCCACTGAAATTGGAGAAGAAACTTCTTCTCAGTGAGGGTGACAGAGCCCTGGCCCAGGCTGCCCAGAGAGGTTGTGGAGTCTCCTTCTCTGCAGACATTCAAAACCCGCCTGGACGCCTTCCTGTGTAACCTCATCTGGGTGTTCCTGCTCCAGCAGGGGGATTGGACTGGATGAGCTTTTGAGGGCCCTTCCAATCCCTGACGGTCTGTGATTCTGGGATTCTGTGAGTCTGGGATTCTGTGATTTTATTTTTGCCTATGCAAAACTATCTTAGTTGATTTTTCTCTTTGGCCCATGTTTTTCTACATGCCTGATCATTCCTTCTGCTGTCCCCTGCCTTCTAAGTTTTCTCTTTGGCCTATGTTTTTCTACATGTCTGATCATTCCTTCTGCTGTCCCCTGCCTTCTCTTCATCTGCTTTGTGTGTTTCTTGAAAATGTAGCGCCCGAAGTGGAGCACAGTATTTTAGCGAGGGCTTTACCAGCGTCAGGTCGAGTGAGAGCATTATTTCCCCAGTCCTACAGATGTTTCTGTTTATACGCTGTAGTAAGATGTTTGCCTTTTTTGCAGTGGCATTACGTTGTTGACTTATGGTCCGCAGTGCCTCCCCTATCTCAAAACGACTTTCTGCAGCAGTCCTGCCCCACCATTCACCTCCTGTCTGTGTTTGTGCTGTTCGTCATTGCTGCCTGAACACAGAGCCCTGAACTTGCCTCTACTGAAGTGCATCCTATTATTTCAGACCATTTTTCCAAGTTGTTGGGATGATTTTGAATTCTAATATTCATCTCTAGCTTCTTATAAATAACCCGGCTCGGCTTTCCTACCTGCAGTCTGTATTTCAACATGCAAGTCCTAAAACAAAATGCTGAATTATATTCAGTGGAGGATAGTCCCCAGTG